ACCACTCAGAAATATAGTAAATTATAGTATCAATGAAAGAAGTTGAATTGAAAGTTACCTTGATATAAATGAATAGTTGCTGACTGATGTCTGTTCTGTGTAGCCTGCGAGCAAGCTCTCCTATTTGGGTAAGCGAAGTGAGCCTCGCGAGACTTCACTCGCCCAAATAGGAGAGCTTGCTCGCAGGCTATGTTCTGTGGTAAGAAGTTCGCTACAAATCCGCGGTCCCGACAGAAAGCACGTGCGTAGAGCTGGCGCAATCGAAGAGTTGCATATCAAGAAAACTGACAAGTTGTCAGCTAAAAAACAAATTTTAGATAAACTTGTGATAAAACAAACGCGAGTCAGGTCTATTTTATACTATAGTAAACTTTGCTTTTATCCTGCCGCCGTTTCCAACGCGACAGACTAGACGGGCGTTTAGCGTGATAAAGAAAAGACGGAAACTATGGTAAATTTTCCTTTGCTATGGTAAAAAAAAGCCCAAGTGTGACCTTAGACTGCAAAATAGTCCTTATTTTTGCGTATTCAAGTACGCGCGAGCAGTCAAACAAACGGTCTCGAACGAGGCTGCAAACAGAGAGCGAGACTGGGGCGTGTTAGGCTCGCGCGCCTAAGACTCTTACGCCACGCTTTACCGATTTCTCTACTGATTTTGAGAAAAAAACCGACTGTTTTGCAGTCTAGTGTGACCTAAGACGATTGAATTCTGTCTCCTTTAGGAGCCAAGCCAAGATTTTAGAGGTTTAATTTTAATTTTCCGACGAGCATACGCTTCTTTTTTTAAATACTTCAACAAATAGCGTGGCTGTCCAAATTAGCGTGACCCTCTGTATTATTGGTCACGTGATGGCAATTTTTCCCTTAAGCCACTTTCATTTTCTGCATTTCGCTTCGTCATCGTACCCCATTATCTCATGTTTAATTTAATCGAATTTCCTTGGATTCTTTTAGGCAAGGTGAGTAATTTTGCGTTGGTTCTTCAGCTAAACATAGCCACAGATTAATCCAGGCAAATTTTTTTGTCATAGTTTTGCACACATAGGAAGTTTGTATGTGCATGCTGGCCGTTAGATCTACTTGTTGAAGTCCGTCTGAAGAGTTTTAACATCGTCGTGTTTGGTCCGATGTTTGATGGCCTCGGCATACATAATTGTCGCCACTGTCTTGAGCACTGTTCGGTGGTGGGTGTAGAATTTGTGATGAAGAAAGGAGTTCATTTGTTAGGATTTCTTTCTCTTTGAAACCGTTATAAAGTTCACCAGACAACTTTTGCCGCGAGTACACTTCGTCGGCGAGATTTTTGAAGACTGGATTATCATGATCGCTTTTGGTCGCTCTGACGCTATAAAAACAGGTAAAATACGTGCGTAAAGGGGTCGTTAACATCCCATAGCCTGAAACATACGTCGATCGCAGTGGGTCAATCGTTGTCCACGATCAATTCATGTTGTGAACACTACCAAATCATCATTTGCAATTATTTGTGTGTTGTGATGTCTGTGTCATCATTCATAAATTTCATTCCATTTCCTCCAAAGAGAACGGCCAAAGACGGGAAAGGTTTCATTTGAATGGTATCACTATTACTAGACATACAAGCCTGCGAATGCGGACATATATTTCCAGTCGTTTCTCGTTATTTTTATTCGGGTGGAGAGATTAAGCGACGGATGTCAAGTTGGCTTCCCACGCAGACTTGCGTTCTTAGCCGATCCGTTATGATTTATTGACCAAATCTGCCCTTCCATTTTGGCCCTGAATCCGAAATCCGGGCAAAAATGTCTTAATTACACGGAAAGTCCAAAATCCGGGCCCAAAAAATAGATGAATCTGCAATTTGCTGCAATTGCAGGATCCGGAAATCCGTTAAACCTCCACGGGATCGCACAGTCTTGAAAAGTCCTTGAATTTTAGGGGAAGTCCTTGAAAAGTCCTTGAATTTTCTTCACCTTTGAATGTAGTGTATGAACCCTGATCTCGCTTTGAATCCGAAATGCGAGCAAAATATTTTCAAAATTCGCCGATGCGTTCACCTATTCACCCCCCTCTTCTTGGGGCTTCGTCGAACGTCCAGAACGTCTGCGTGGGTCATTACACCATTAAAAGGTCCACAGCTACAAGTTAAAAACGACGGGTAGTCTCACGATAACTTAGGGTCTGGAAGGGTATTTTCGGGATCCGGGAATTGACCAAAATACGGTGCCGGATTCAGGAAAACGGAAAATATCTTGACGGGAAACGGGAGTAAACTGCTTTCCGGGAAACGGGATTCATCCCAATTCGGGCGAGGGATGCGGGATTTTCTTACCTGTCTGTTGTGAAAATGCGAAGTCAAACAGGCGGGCGTTCACTGGTGTCTCCAAGTATGAAAGCAAACTATAAAGTGTAAAGATTATTTTGAATTTAATTATAATAGTAAAACAAGATCACACCATTCATTTAAATCCTCTGATTGAGACATCCATTAGCTAGAGTAAATTTTTTTTGCACTCATTCTTTGGTAGAATTATTAAACAGTGGAACGCTCTTCGTAAAGAGATAGTGCACGAACAGGATTTCAGCATTTTTCGAAGTAGACTTAAAAAGTCTTGTAAAATTTTGTAAATTTTTCTTAGCCATTTCTTAATTATTCTTACATTGTAGTATATTTAGCTTCCTTGATAGGGATAACCTCTGACGTTTCTTTTTATGTATCCTCAGATAATAAATATTTGATTGATTAATGCCAGAAAATTACACATGTATGTCTTGAAGAAATAATTTGATCAGTTTAACTTTGCAAACAGTACGGTGATCCCAGCTCTGCTGTCGCGCATAAGACAGTTCGGAGTTTTGATGTCCTCTATGAGCAGAAAAAACATCGAGGAGGTTCGGAGTTGGGAGTGAGGGGGAAGAAATCCTCCATTTCTCTCCCTCCTAGTTTCTTCTTCCTTTTCCCCTCCGCCTCGTCAAACGGAGGAAATGTTCGTGTACTTTTTTAAAGACACTCTTTTCGTGCGCTCTTTTCTTGCTTATGGGACGGTGGTACTACCCGTGACACCCCACCCTACCATTCTCGACTAAAGAGCCAGTTTTTGTTTTCTGGCGAGGGGGAAGCTCTGGAGTCGACAATATTTGCATATCGAAAAATACGCTATTCCAAACAAACAAAACTATCTCCTTCCTGCTTTTTATCCTTCTTTTACTCTAGTAATATTTACCTCTAGAATATCTGTTACCCTCAACTTGCCATTCAATTAAAGCGCTAGTCGAAACGGCCTTGAACACAAAAACATATTATTGTACTACATTTATTCAAATGTTTTTTTAGTTTTCACTGGTTGGTTTTAAAAATCTTGCACGTGGACATTAGTGATGACCGGTCCCTGTCACAGGACAAAGTGTCTGTGCCTACCACATCCACTTCCTAGTACTTTTTTATTTACTTTTGTTATTAACGTACATCTAGGGTTTGAATTAATTTTCTTCTCATGGGTAAATGGGCTGTTTAACAGCATTGAAATTGAAATTGAAATTGTAAGTAACAACAGAGCGGTGCCTTACATAGGTCTAGGGTCCCGTTTGCACTTGCCCTTTTGGGGATCAGCAATTGTTTTTAATTATTCTTGTAACTATAATTAATTATATGTCTTCTTGTAAATTCTATCATGACTGCATTCTTGCCCCAATCAAGTGCCCAAAAAAAAAAAATGGAGCCGGAGATACTGACATCGAATGATAACATACTCATCAGTTTATCAGGCCTGTCAGTTTATAATCTAATAGACACATCCACTCATATAGACGCCTGTTGTCCACCCCCGCGCCAGCCCCCCACGTTTTTACGTGAGAGTCTCTCCCTTTTCTTTTCCTCCTTTCCATCAACCCTCGCTCGATCTCCCTTCAGTCAGGTATGCGATCTAAATAGAGTCGACTGGGGACGAGTCATCCCCCCGTCTATCTCCCCACCCCTTCCCACCCCTTGGAACCTTAAACTAAATAAACAAAACTTTAAGCACGTCATGACCAAGGCACTGGGAAAGAAAGTTGTGTTTGAAGCTTACGCGCGGTCGCTTATCTAACCGAATAGCGTAAAACTGTAGATACTTAGCCTGCCGTCTCTTATTTAACGGAGTTTATAATTAGCCACTACCTTTTCATAATCTTTTGCGATTCTTGTGTTCATCACCCGTCTGTAGTGCACATTCTCAATATGAATAAGTTAACAACCTATTTTTTGACCTGGCTAAAAATAAATTAAAAACAAATATCTTTCACAGCATTATAAGTTGGTCAGATGGAATACTCGCAAGAGCAACTTAACTTCTTCAGACTCTGCTGCATAGGATTTGATTTGGTTCCAATGGGACTGCGGCAGATTTTCAAAAACGAATGGGATTTCCTTTATAAAGGAACGTTAATTGGAGAATGGAAAGACACGGCACAAAATGGTCATGATTTCTGCAACAAGGAATCTAAAGCAAGTCACAAGAAAAACGCCCGATGTCTGGCCAAAATCCACAATGGTAACACGGCAGACTGGGACTGCACCTGTTTGTCTTTTGCCATTCTGTACTCGGACAGCATTGGTACTACCTTAAGTCCAGCTGTCCGTAAAGAGGTCGATTGATATTCGTCAGGTGCGAAACGAGATCGCTCATATCACCGAGGCTAAGTTGACAGATGCCGACTTCCAAACTTCTGTAGATAGAGTGGTGAACGCTTTTACATCCCTTGGTCTTGCTATAACTGAGATTCAAGAAATAAAGAACCAGACGACCTTCCCAACGAAAGAAGTGGAAAAAATTAGGAAGCAAGCTCGTGATCTCCAAACCGAGTTAGATCAGACAACAAGCACTCTTCTAAGTACAGAAGCTGCCCTGGTTTCTACAAAAGAAGAAAACAAATCTCTCACACAGGAAATAAGTGCAAAACTTCAGTCATTTTGTATTTTCGCATCGCGCCCACCGCATGTTATCATTAGGCGCTCGCATGATATTCAAAGAATCACTAACAAAATGGAGGAACTTTACAATGGTTCTGGCGGAGCAGTCAGTACAGTGTATTTGTCAGGGAATCCAGGATGTGGCAAGAGCCAACTTGCCCGGGAAATTGGACAACAGCTCTTTTATGGACAAAACAATGATCTTATCTTTGCTGCGACACTGAACACAGAAAACATTGAGACACTTGTTGACTCTTACCTCACCCTTGGAAGACACCTAGGGATAACAGAATACGCGTTGACAAGCTTAGAATCCTTAAAAAGTGTGAAACCTATTGAAGCAGTTAAACAGCTCCATCGCTTGATTATGCCAAAGACCAGCAAGTTTACCAAATGGTTGATAATAGCAGACAATGTGATTGATTTACGCTTAGTCCGCGACTTGCTTCCTCAAACTGGCAGTAAAGAATGGGGCTATGGGCAAGTGCTGATTACCACTCAAGATAGTGGTACAATTCCTCAAAACGCTCCTCACACGTATCATCAATCGTTAAGCAAAGGAATGGGGCGCGACGAGGCAGTGGAATTGCTGGAAACAGTATCGCAAATTTCAGAGCCAGTACAAGCAGAAAATATCGCTGAACTTCTCGATTTTCAGCCCCTGGCTTTAGCTGCTGCTGCTTATTACGTGCAAACTGTTGTGACCAATGGGTCTTCACATTATAATTGGAAAGCATACCTTCAAGACATATCAACATACAGCCAGCGAAAAACGACCGAAACTGTCCTTGCTAATGAGAGTTCAGCCTACGCTAAAACAACAATGGCCGCAGTAGAAATGGCAATCCACAGAGCTGTTGAAACAGACGAGATTCTTCGTCACACATTCTCTTTTTTGTCGGTCTGCGCTAACGACGACCTACCACTCGAAACTGTTATAAAGTTCGTAAAAGCCCAAGTAAAAAACGAGCTAGAGGTCTTAATGAAGGCAAAGATTGTAAAGTCCTCTTTAATTCTTGTTCATTCCGAAGAAGGGGGTGAACGAACTTATTTACGTTTGCATAAAGTTGTGCATGAGGCTTTGAAAAGATGCGAGATACCGTACCTGAAATCATTTGATAGTGACCACACCATCGCAGAAGCGGTAAAGATTTTCAAGGTTGAACTTGACGAAAATGACAAGAATTATGCGTTTTGTGAAAAATTGAGGCCCCACTGTGAATCTTTACTTAAGCAGATGACGTCAGAGTTTAGTTTGGATCACAGCACTTTTTTAGAAAGGTTTGGGCCCTTCGTAAATTTGGATACAGTTATTGATTGGCTACATACTATCGCCTGGGTCTGTCAAAGAAGCTCCTATTTCTTCTTTGCGAAAGTTGTGGCCAACTTAGCGTGCGATCTACTGGGGAAATTAGACGACACTTCAACGGTTGCGTTAACTCGTAAATGGAAGGTTTTGAATGTAAGTGGCGAAGTGTACCACAGGCTGGTAGAATACAATCAAGCCAAAGATCTTCACGAAAAAGCACTGAAGATTAGCAAAAAGATTTTTGGTGAAGATCATGCCCATGTAGCAACAAGTTATAACAACTTGGCATCAGTGTACCTCAGCCTGGAAGAATATAATCAAGCCAAAGAACTTACCGAGAAAGCACTGACGATTTACAAAAAGATTTTTGGTGAAGATCATGCCGATGTAGCAACAAGTTATAGCACCTTGGCATCAGTGAACAACCGCCTGGGAGAATACAGTCAAGCCAAAGAACTTACCGAAAAAGTATTGACGATTTACAAAACGATTTTTGGAGAAGATCATGCCGATGTAGCAACAAGTTATAACAACTTGGCATCAGTGTACGACAGCCTGGGGGAATACAATCAAGCCCAAGAACTTTACGAAAAAGCACTGGTGATTTACATAACGATTTTTGGTGAAGATCATGCCCACGTAGCAACAAGTTATAACAACTTGGCATCAGTGTACAACAGCTTGGGAGAATACAACCAAGCCAAACAACTTCAAGAAAAAGCACTGAGGATTCTCAGTAAGATTTTTGGTGAAGATCATGCCCATGTAGCAACAAGTTATAACAACTTGGCATCAGTGTACTACGACCTGAAAGAATACAATCAAGCCAAAGAACTTCACGAAAAAGCACTGACGATTCGCAAAAAGTTTTTTGGTGAAGATCATGCCGATGTAGCAACAAGTTATAACAACTTGGCATCAGTGTACAGCAACCTGGGAGAATATAATCAAGCCAAAGAACTACTGGAAAAAGCACTGATGATTGACAAAAAGATTTTTGGTGCAGATCGTGGCAGTGTAGCAAACTGTTATAACAACTTGGCATCAGTGTACAGCAACCTGGGAGAATATAATCAAGCCAAAGAACTACTAGAAAAAGCACTGATGATTGACAAAAAGATTTTTGGTGAAGATCATGGCAGTGTAGCAACAAGTTATAACAACTTGGCATTAGTGTACAAAAACCTGGGAGAATACAATCAAGCCAAACAACTTCACGAAAAGGCACTGACGATTCGGAAAAAGATTTTTGGTGAAGATCATGCCGATGTAGCAACAAGTTATAACAACTTGGCATTAGTGTACTACGACCTGAAAGAATACAATCAAGTCCAAGAACTTCACGAAAAAGCAATGACGATTCGCAAAAGGACTTTTGGTGAAGATCATGCCGATGTAGCAACAAGTTATAACAACTTGGAATCAGTGTACAAGAGATTTGGAGAAAACAATCAAGCCAAAGAACTTTACGAAAAAGCACTGACGATTCGCAAAAAGATTTTTGGTGAAGATCATGCCGATGTAGCAACAAGTTATAACAACTTGGCATTAGTGTACAAACGCCTGGGAGAATACAATCAAGCCAAACAACTTTACGAAAAGGCACTGACGATTCGCAAAAAGATTTCTGGTGAAGATCATGCCGATGTAGCAACAAGTTATAACAACTTGGCATTAGTGTACAAACGCCTGGGAGAATACAATCAAGCCAAACAACTTTACGAAAAGGCACTGACGATTCGCAAAAAGATTTTTGGTGAAGATCATGCCGATGTAGCAACAAGTTAGAAGAACTTGGCATCAGTGTACTACAACCTGAGAGAATGCAATCAAGCCAAAGAACTTCACGAAAAAGCACTGATGATTGGGAAACAAATTTTCGGAGAAGATCATAAGTATGTATAAAGAATTCGTAGTGAGTTGGCATTAGTAGACAAACACCTTGTAAGCAGTCGAGCTGAGGATCGGCATGAAAAGCACGTTGTTTGATCCTATAAATTGTCTTGATTGTCAATACTAGATTGCGTAGCAGTCGCCTCTGTCTCCTTTTAGCCAAACAAGGTGACTCCTCTTCTTTCCTAACCCTCCCCACTGTTCCTGCTTTGTTTGTTCCGTTTTATGCTCCCCGTGCTCTCGCGCTTCTGGTGTACTTTACCCACCCTCTCAGCTAAAAGGAAACCGAAACGACTGCTACGCAAGAGAGTTTGGGGATCCCCAAAAAGTTATTCGGGATCAGGAATCTGGCTGATTCTTAGGCTGAGATACTGAATTTTACAGAATGAATTGGAGAGGGAAACGCGGAATGTAATATTTCTATTTCCCTATAAACGGGTTACGAGACTAAGCGATTTAATTCATGACGAGAGATTCGAGAAGTGTTATTGAGGAGAACTTGTATCCCATACTCGATGAAAAAGAAATTCTTTTGGTGTATGTCAGGAAAGATATTGTTCATCGTGGATAATGTGTATGAAGGTTTTGTTTATCGTTTTAAGAATGTACGCGCGCGTGAAAAGATGGCAGGAAAAGTAAATCGCTATCCAGATTCTGTATTTGATGGGCTTCGGAACTGGTATTTCATAATTGACTTTGAGACGATATTGAAAGAGAATAAAAGGCGTTATGTTGAGAAACACACGGAAAGCTGCAAATAAAGAGCAGCATTGGTTCGCGCCCAAAAACTTGCTACAATAAATATTTAGTTTCCGCCATGTAGAAGTTTATCTGAGGCATTAACCTTTATTGTGGAGTACAAAGATATTTCCACACTACCCGGTTATGGCAGACTGCTAGCAGTCTCTCTTTTTCTTCAGATTTTATGTGAAGGGAGTTTGCGCGCTCGAGCGTCGAGCGGCCGCGAGACGCGAGACCCGAGAAGAAAAAGGAGACAACAGCTTCTCTTTTTACGTATCTCTCCCGTCTCGCGCCTTTAGTCACGCGCTTGGTCGTTCGCGTGTCTCGCGCGTTTTGTTCGATGCACCAAGAAAAAAGAGAGACTGCTCGTAGTCTATGGTTATGGAAAATTGCTATAAACATCTGATGGATGGGGGACTTGAATGGGTGTTATGTTTCTTTTGTTTATCAGGAAGGAGGAGTAATGAAAAAATAATAATTTGCTGAGAGGTGGGGTTAAAACCAGAAACTCATAAGGGGTTGAACAACCCCTAATGGGTTTCTGTTAAAACTTAAACACCTTTATGTGGATGAGATGAGATGACTTACAAGGGATATTAGCAAAAGGCTTGGCGCATGTTTTTAATCAACACTACATTAAGATGAAATATTTTTCTCATTAATGTGTTCACTCGATGTTAACGAACCCATGCCCTATGTTTAAAATTTATAAATCCAAACTGAATTTGCTGATGGAGTTAGTCCTTTTATTCATCAAGTTTTGACTACAGGGTCACTGCTATCGAGAACTTACTATCCACCTTCTGTGTACTCTAGGACAGAGATATGAACAGCTTCTACCATTTTCGTACCTTTCCCGTCTCGCGTTTTCAGTCAAGCGCATGGTCGTTTGCGTGTCTCGCGCGTTTTGCTCGATGAAGAAAGAGAGACTGCTCGTAGTCTATGGTTATGGAAAATTGCTATAAACATATGAAGGATGGGGTGTTTTTTGAATGGCCGTTATGTTTTTTTGTTTATCAGGCCGGAGGAGTAAAGAAGAAAACGAATTTGCTGAGAGGTGGGGTTAAAACTTAAACACCTTTATTTGGATGAGATGCGGTTTCTTTTCGGATCAACTTATCGCTAAAATTTACCCACACCAATTAGAATGTGAATCAACAGTCAACACCCCAGCCCCTACCCTGCGAACAGAGTCTCCTTCGATCTCATCTAGGAAAGATCGAAGCGACTCTGCTAGCAGGGTACCCCGCCCCCTCCCCAAGCTTGAGGGGCACTTCCATATTTGGCCTAAGCCTGTAGATGCCGCTAAACAGTGTAAGTTTTGGGAGATGTCAAGTGCAGACATTTTCCGGCACCACATTCAAATTCCTTGTAATTAACCTGTCCTTTGATAACGCTACTGTACTGTACCTGCGTACTTCAAGGAAGCTGTTTTAGGTCCAGTACTTAAGAAGGACTCACTCGACCATGAGGCCCAAAAAATTTCCGACTCATCTCCGGCAAATCTAAGATTTGTCTCTAAAGCAACTGAAAAGGTGGTAGCTCTACACCTTAATCAACATCTTGTCAATAACATTCTACATGAGATGTTTCAATCAGCTTATCGAAGGGGACATAGCACTGAAACAGCTCTCACTGGTATTCACAAAACTTACTCGCAATCGACGACAATAGTTGCGTCATACTCGTGTTACTGGATCTTTCCGCTGCTTTCGACACAGTAGATCATGACATACTACTTGGTAGACTTGAACATCATTTCGGAATCACCGGAAAGGCCTTATCTTGGTTAACGTCCTACTTTACAGACCGCACCCAATTTGTCAAAGTGGCAAATGAGTACTCCACCAGTCGAAAGCTTCTCTGCGGTTTCCCCCAAGGTTCGGTTCTTAGTCCCATATTACACTCTATGTACACCGCACCCCTCGAAGACATAATAAGACAACATGGCTTAAACTTTCACCTCTATCCTCACGACAAGCAGTTATACCTTTCCTTTAACCCAAAGGCTACTGGAGAACCGATGCACTCACTGTCTCTTGTTCAGTCATGCATCAGCGATATTACCAACTGGATGACATCGAACAAGTTGATGCTGAACAGTGACAAGACTGAACTCCTTGTGTTCAACGCTTGCCATCGTCCTCGTCCTCCACTGGAGTCTATTACAGTTGGCCGTGACGTGATACATGCTTCACATGCCGCAAAGAACATAGAGCTCTGGTTCGATGAATTTCTATCAATGGACAGACAAACAAGTGAAAGCAGTCTGCAAATCGGCCTTCTTCCATCTGCGCAATATCGCCAAAATTAGGAAATAAATATCGTTTACTCACTGCAAGATTTTGATCAATACATTTATTACGTCAAAACTAGACTACTGTAACTCTCTTATCTGGGCTTCGACAGGATCATATTAACAAACTTCAGCTTGTGCAAAATTCTGCCGCACGTCTTTTGACTGGTATTACGAAACATGAACATATTTCACCCATCTTAAGGTCTCTTCATTGGTTGCCTATTCCGGAAATAATTGATTTTAAACTTTTACTTCTTACATTTAAATCACTTAATGATGTAGCACCGCCTTATATGGAAGAACTGTTAGTTCGTTATAGACCAAAAAGAACTCTGCGTTCTGCAGATAAAGGACTCCCAGTACAAACTAAATACAACCAGTTAAAACCTATGGTTACAGAGCTTTTCCACGCACAGCTCCTATGATATGGAATTTCATGCCAGTCAGTATACACACATGTTGTTAGCTGGGCGCTTTCAAATCAAAAATCAAAACATTTCTTTTTAAGCGTGCTTTTCAGCTGTAATTTTATCTTATCTATTATTATTTAATATTTCATTATTTTTATTTGTTTATTTATCTATTTATTTTTTAACAAATAAGTCATTGTAATATTTTATTAGGTTTATTACCATTAGTACTGATTGTAAAGCGCTTTAGAAGAGAAAGGCGCTATATAAATGTATATTATTACTATTATTATTGTAAGTAATCATCTCGTTACTTCGAAAAAGTGCTTGTCAATCATTTACGAAAATGGGCTCTTCTAAGCGACAGTGAGATAAACTTATTGAAAGCGGTAACGTACAAGGACTTTTGCAAAAGGCTTGGCACATGTTTTTAATCACCACTACATTTAGATGAATAATTTTAATTAGGACCTTTTTATTGATGTGTTCACTCCATGTTAACGATCCATGCCCCTATGCTATGGCTTAAACCTAAACTGAATTTGCTCATGGAGTTAGTCCTTTTATTCATCAAGTGTTGACTACAGGGTCATTGCTATCAAGAACTTACTATCCTCCTTCTTTGTACTCTAGGACAAACATATGACGAGCTTCTACGTGACAAAAGTTGGCGGTTTTTTTTTAATTGCGTCTCATCTTCACCCTGTTTATACACGCGCATATACTTCCCCACCTCCCTCCCACCCGGGGACTCTAATTTGAAAATCATGACGGGGATGCTCGTCGCAGGTTTTGGTTTAACTTAGGGCATTCAGGACCATATTTTTACCTATAAAGGTATTGAATTCTGTCTCCTTTAGGAGCCAAGCCAAGATTGGTCTCCTTGAGAGGTTTAATTTTTGTTTTCCGACGAGGATATGTAGCCTGCGAACAGCAGACGTATTTCTGGTCGTCCCCGTCTGCTGTTCGTAGGCTAGACGAGCATACGCTTCCTTTAATTTTTTTAAGGGTTTCCCTCCGTCTAGGGCTCCGTACGCCGAGGTATACTCCCTATGATGGCCTATACTGGGAGGCTCCGCCTGAAAGGGGTTTTTTTTTTTCAGGCTTCAGGTAGATGACCGGGTAGAGATTTCATTAGTGGAAGTATTTAAAAGGGTAGGGAAATCTGTAATTTGTTTCTGTAAAAGGGCCCAAAAGGGCTAACAGATAAATTTTATGGCTTTATTAAGTAGAGAAAACGTTCTATGTTTGTGTTTAATTCCTAGTTGAAAGACATGTAAAGGATGCAAAGTTCTAAAGGAGGTATGTGAAAAGGGTACCATTCGTCAATAAAAGGTATACGAAAGGGGTACCTTTTTCGTGAAAAAATGGTATATAAAAGGGTAAGGGGTTGGACCTCGGGGTGCAGCAACCCCCGTTCTAGACTTGCTCACAAGTCGAGCTTT